GTGTGTGTTTATACTGTAAAAAGTGTTGTAAAGTGTTCAAATTGTGCAGGAAAAATAAACAAGAGGGCACTTATATCGCTCACCTGATTATTGAGGCTCTCAATTAATATTGTTAGCAATGAATGAAAGGCAGATATAATGCCATAAACTTAAACAGATATCATAACATTCATATCTGAATGTTAATAAGGTTTTTTTCATACATGCCTTTTTATGTGCTGTGACATGTTTTGACCTCAGATGACCCATATCCAAACCTGAACTTGAAATCATTCAAACAACCTTTCTGACCAATGTCCAGGATATTTAGGCTAAAAAAAATTTTTTTTCCATTTTTGGTCTGTGTGAACTAGATTTTGACCATAGATGACCAATGTTCAAAGCTGAGCTAGAAAACATCAAAACAAACTTTTGACAAATTTTCAGGATGTTTGGGATGAAAATATAACTTCTAGAATGTAAACAATACTTTTCCATAATTTGGGTTGTGTGACCTAGTTTTTGACCCCAGATGAACAATATTCAAACATGACCTAGAAACTATCTAAACAACCTTTTCTGACTAATTTCCAGGATATCTGGACCTTAACAGTATCCTCTACAGTGTTAGTAAGGTTTATCCGTACTTGGGCTGTGTAACCTAGTTTTGACCACAGACGAACTATCTTTGAACTTCAGCTAGAGGTTTTTCGATAATTGGCCACGTTAAATAGAAAACTACCTTTTAGTTAAGTGGTGCATGGTACCAGTAATTAGTTATGGCGTTGATGAGCTGTCGTAAAATACTTGAATAATTTTACTTGCAAATCCTTGCGATCATTATTGTACATGCAAGCATAAACGACTATTAAAAAACATTTCATGTAATGAATTATTTTTTTCTCGTTTCGTTCCGTTTCGCGTATTGGTACTTTGCGAAAGGGAACGAAACAAGACGAATTTTATTTCATTTCTTTTTCATCATTTGTCAGCTTATGTTTAGTACAGTTTTCAAGACTTTATATATATCCGGACCGGTACATCATATAAAGTTTCTCTCTGGTTCATATACATGTTCAAATGCGCTCGTTAACAGATGTATGCATTTATAATCATTCAATGTTATGCTTTAAACTACAAACAAAAGATAGGGTTTTCATCGATATATCTAACCTATTTTAATTTTTGTATGTTCCGTTTAGCAAAATACCAATGGTAGTTTGCGTAAAGTAACGTAACAAGACAAAACATTAATGTTTTGCGTTTTATGAGTTTTATTAGACATTATACATCATTCGACTATGGTAATACAGAGTTAACATAATTAACTATTATGATTATATTGATTTTTTCCGAATTTCAACTAGAATTCTTAATTTTCCCAATATGGTGCCCCTCGTTCCGTTTCATTCCGTTTGCAAAGTACCGATAGCCTTTCCAACCTTTCAACAGATAATGAAATTTCTGAATTTTCCGCTTATGCAACTTCTATTCTGTTTAACTAATTGCTACAATTCTTTCAATTTCTTCCTCGGCCTGCTTCGCTTGTTAAAGTAGCTTAGTCTTTATCAAGCACTTTCTAACTATTATTATTGTTATAGAAATAAATGACATAGCATATTCTTGGCCCTTTCCGTGAAACTTTCGGACAAAAAAAAACGGATTTCGGTCAAACTAGAAACAAATAATTATTTAATGATGTAAGGTGTTGTGTTGGCAAAGTTTATTCCTTTATAAAAGACTACAAGTTTAAATTTAGTAAATTTATGAATATAAATGTAAACTGGACATTATTTTATATTCTTATTGTTGTGGTTGTAAAAACCGAAAGTACTTAATGTCTTCCTCTTCAACTTGTTATTGAGAATGACTAACAATAATTAACTGAACTTTAAAACAGAACGAGGAAGTTGTCTGACAATGGAGGTATATATTTATTTTATTTTGAATAAAACATTAATAATTTAAAATATTCTGAAAAACACATTTGGAAAGTGTTGGAACTTAATTCATTTCTATTCATAAATCATTGGATTTTACAATTCATGTATGCATGTTTACAAGATTGTAAAATTTAAAAAGGAAACTAGATATTATTACTGTTTTTGAAAATCTAGACCAACTTGTTATTTAACTGATTAAATTACTAGAAAGGTAACCAGTTTTATAAAGAATCAATGTTTAAAAGTCCCAAAGGACGAGTTCAGGCGTGTTTGTTTGAACCACAGGACACAAGATTTGTTTTCAGTGAAGATAATATTTTGACAAACATTGTTTTGTTTTATAGATAAAAGTCTAATTATTATAATGCTTTAAACAATTCGTTTATGTTATTGTTACATTACGTAATATTGGAAAATTTGTGCGCAGTCACACGTGAATAATTTGATTTTGATATTTAATGGCCCAGATATTGACCTAGTGACCTACTTTCTTGTTTTTTATGTACAGCTATGAAATTAGGCCCATGTATATAGTATATTTAAAATTACACTTTGCACGAAGTATGGTCTAGTGGCCAACATCGTTCTAATTATAAACACTAGTTTTCACTGCTTTTACACAAACAGCAGTCTGTTCTCAGGTGAGCGCATTGGGGCAAACAATACCTCTTGTTTAATTTACAGGGACAAGAAGAGAAACAAGAATGTGACAGTAAAGAAAATGACACCACCACAGAAGCAAGCGTTGTTGTAACAGGTAAGAATGCTCACAAGCAATCTACAGAAGGTTAATTTCTTTTAATTGTCTAACTCACATAACGTCAAACGTTTTCTTTGCTATATTGGGTATTTGAAAGAAGAGCGCGCGATCAAAATTCTGTTTGGAATGTCTGCAATTTTAAGACTATACCAAAATGAATAAAATGTGTGAATATACAACTTTAAGAGTAGGTTATAAAGACATACGCAAATTTCACAATTGTAAAGCATCTTTAAACTATACAGCTTTTAAACTTTTGCAAAATTTAAATGTCATATTTACATTGGCCATTGCTATCACAAGCAGTGACGGTGGAGCATTTGTCTCACTGAAGCGATGGATAAATATATCCGAAAGACCGGTGGGGATTTTTCAACTTCATAATTCCCGATTTCAACTTCATGAATTCACGATTTCAACTTCATGAATTCACGATTTTAACTTCATGAATTCACGATTTTAACTTCATAAAATTGTGTAAATGTAAAATTTTTTAAAGCTCGTAACAAATCGGAACCACCACAAACCGTTACAGCCGTATCCATCGCCGTCTGCGCTGTAATCATTTTTGTCAATTCGTTAAAGTATATGAAAGGACAATTCTTGAAATAACAATTATATGCGTGTCATGTAAAAGATCTAATAAACTATGCGATGTCGGCGTTACGACGGGTCGTTTTGTACAGAATCCTACATGTTTTTACCAAAACCTGCCCCCACGACAAATAGTACAAAAGAGTAAAGAATTGCACTGTGCAAGGAGATGAAATAGTAGACATGTGCGTTCTTGTCTCACAGAATATTTCAAGTAAAATGATAAAGACAGTATTTCATTTACCGCTGACAGCGAAAAATAGATTAGACAGCTATGACTGATGTAATTCTCTGTACTAACCAGATACTACAGGTGGTTTCTTATAATCTTATATACGTAAGATTTTTCTCCTTATCAACATAACACGCGGACATTTGCTAAGTGGATCTACTTAAACGGTCTTTTTATATATAAAATGATATATCGTAAGAATACAGATTCTATTTGCTATGTTCTTATATCATCTTTTTCTCCTTTTACTTTTTACTGGGAAGTATTTAGTATCTATATATAATTACGAAAATACAAAGATGAAGATGAACAAAGTTACAGGAAGATATTATTCGCATGGGCTCTTTCAGCCAACAAATACTTTCACGTCCGTTCTTGCATGAAGCAGGACAATACGACAAACAGGAGAGTTACAGTCAATCGATAGAAAATCAAATACAAAGCATAGTTGAAAGGTTTATTTAGGCATGTAGATACTCATATAATAGTTGCTAGAGAGCTTGATTTGTCAAATGTTCACGGCCTAGTTGTTTAAGATGACTTCAACCACTTAAATGCCCTCATCGATTTGGGCTCAAGTACCGTCAAGGGGGGGGGCGGCAAAAAATTAAAAAGAGCTTAGAAATAATAAGTGTAATTGTTTGAATTCGCGTTGTCACTTTTTCTCTTTTTTCGTTTTTCAGATGAGAAATTATATGGGGAGTTATATAATTTTGAAAAGGTAAGCTTTAAATCAAATTCAAATTAAGTTAAAATCTTAAAAATACATTTATTGGTAATTTATTTGGCACAATGAATGTGATAAAGTATCATGTGGTCACAAAATCAGTAAAATTGTGACAAAACTAGATTGAAACTCATTCTGAAAACCCGGAGGCCTTGAACACAAAAGATTATTCCTATATAAGTGGCATGTTTAAAACAAAACAATTAATGACCAAAATGTAGCCAAAACATAATTGAAACATCATTAAACAACTATTATCGTCATTTGTCCGACAAAAGTTTCGAACTATCACATTAAAACAACCATCAAATCACTATAATTACAGTTTCTGTTATTTACTATGAACTTAACAACTCATTATCAGCAATGTGCAGCATACACATGTAATAGCCAAATTAGGACTTAACGCTTTATACATGCCGAATTTGACTTAACCCTTCCATTGTAAGAAGTTTAAATCTAAACAAACACAAGACACAAACAATAAATATCTAAACACGAACAGACCAATTATACTGAGTTATATCTTTAAATTACTATGAAGTTATCAGATGAATATTTACATTATTTTATTAATCAATGACATCACAACTTCATAAAAATGAAACGTAACAACATTATATTTTGAAGTTTTAAGTCAAAATGGACCTAAACAAGATACAAAAGGGGGGAACTTCGAGGGGGGGGGGGGGAGCTGTTATATTTGAATGAAATAAAGGAGGATGACAATGAACAAAGAAGAAGGGTATAGACTTTTCAAAAAATATGATTGAGTTTGGAGAGGTACTTAAGCAGATGGAGGTAATCTTTAATCCATGTTCACATGAAATTGAACAATGGGAAGGTTTTATGAAATAAGAAATGTTCACACCAGTATTTCAATATTCACTGCTACAACCGATAAGAAATCATTTTTGATCAATGTAGATATTAAATCTTATTTCTTTAAAAGAGGTATTTGTTCTATGATTGGATTGGTTTAAGTATTATTAAATCTTTAACACTAATCATGTTGTTTTCACTGGTTTCACGGTATCAGACGGCAATTCTTTTTCTTCTACCATGTATCAGATCACTTAGTATGTACATAAATTCTCGTGACAAACGTGGAGATATCACAAGTGCAATGCAAAGAAAATCTAGTTTTAAAAGTTCAATATCGCAGTTCATGAGGAATAACATGTATCATACCTCACGCAAGCTAGCACCGGCTTTCCGAAACACCGAGAATACGAGAATACTGGAATCATTAAATCTAATGAAATAATTCATAAATATTTTTTCTAGATAAAGGAGTATGACAAAGAAGAATTGCAGAGACGTCTGTGTGTGTTAGAGGTACTTAAGCAGATAATGGTAATCTTTAATCCATATTCACATGAAATTGTACAATAGGAAGGTTTTAAGAAATAAGAAATGTTCATACTGGTATTTCATAATTCACTGCTGCAACTGATTTGAAATCATATTTAATCCATGCAAATATTAAATCTTATTTCTCAAAAAGAGATATTTGTACTATAATTGGATTGGTTTAAGCATTATATAATCTTTAGCACTAATAATGTTGTTACCACTGGTTTTAAGGTACCAGATAGTCAGGAAGCAATTCTTTTATATTACGTCTGCCATGTATAAGTTACAAAGTACGTATAGAAAGAAATTCTGGTAACAAACGTGGAGATATCACAAGTGCAATGCAAAGAAAAACTAGTTTAAAAAGTTCTAAATCGCAGTTCATTAGGAATAATTGAAATAATGTATCACATCTCACGCAACCTAGCACTGGCGTTTCTAAACACCGAGAATACTGTAATCAATAAATCCAATGAACTTGAAAAATATAGCGACAATAATTTCGGAGATAAAATTTCACAGCTACCATGCAGCATTTTATTACCGTTTCTTTTTATATTTTCATTTTTACCATTTCAACAGTATTGTTGTGCAAGTGTGTGAATATAAAATCTCTTTGTAATTCTAGTAAGAGCTAGATTCAAATTACACATTAAATATGTTTGCTTTTTATCATTCCATAGAAGGGAGAGAATGTGTCAAAAAGTGACAAGAACAGAAAACTCGTCTTTCCTCAAGTTAAAGAGTCTGATGATTTAATGAAAAATACAGGTAAGTAAACAGACCATACTAAAAACAGAATTGTGCGATTGGAATGAAGTTCATATTTTTAATAAGCAAATATACGTAAAATGTCATATAATTGGCATCAATACAAGCTCAGTTCGCTTGGAAATGTTCTCCACTTTTTGTTTCTTTAAGAACATGCAATATTGATCTGAAAAAAGGGCTAATTTTAATCATGTCAACTCAAAAAATTGTGTTGACATGAAATTAAATAGTAAGAGTTACTTTTTGAATGAAGTGTTTTAAATTATATTATCAAAATAAGACAACATAGGGGGATACGACATAACTTCTCAAGTGATATATACGAAACCCAGATCATAATTATTTCCTTCAGACGGAGTAACAAAAACCAAACCTTAATTTAACCTTGTATTCTGCGTCTGCAACAGTATACCTAAAAGCGCATACAAAATTGTTGCACGAATGCAGCAATAGATAGAGAACAAACGCCAATTTCAAATGGATCCATCAATGTTGTATCGAACAATACGAAAGAAGTAATGACTTATAGTGTAGGAAACGAGGACCGGTTAGTAGGACCCTACCAGTCTTTGTCTAGGAACAGTAAGTTTTATATACCAAAATGTTCACAAGGGTTCGTAGAATACGAAACGATATTTCATTTTAACCCAAATGGTCGGATAATCAAGAAATCCAAGATGGCGTCCAAGATGGCCGCCAAAATTCGCAAAAACATTAATTATCATTATTTGGCAATTTTTTAAAAGAATTTCTAAGTCACTTTTGTCTTTACATATAATTATGATAGAAAACACATGTTTACTGTAAATAAATTGGTTTTTGATCACTTTTATGGGAGAAATATAAAATATTTGAAAGAATATCATGGAAAATGTATTAAAAATGACCTAAAAATTAAATTTGATATAAATTTTCATTTCCATGACAACACATTTCAATTTTTATTTCCATATTATACTTTTGTGCAAAAATTCAACTTCAACTCTTATCATTTATGTCAATTTTAATGTTTATGGATACTTCTCCTATGGATGTATTATGATTTTAAACGGATGGGGTATAATTAAATTCAGCTAAAATTTACATCTCTAAAATTGCGCCTATTTCTGATAATTTATTTTCCATTTTTTTGTATTTGTTGTGTTGTTGACTAACTTGTTTTCTCTGAAATACATATAATAGAAAGTGTGATGTTAGCAAATATTGAAATTTTTATCAGTTTTCATGGTTACCATGGTAACATTTTATAAAAAGATAACATTTTATAGAAATATAAATCTTACGTTATAGAAATAAAACCTTAAACGCATTTAAGCAACTTTTTACAAACTTTGAATGATTCATAATCACCACATTTTTCAAATGACCATAGGTGTAATAATAAATTAATGGTCTTCTCTTGACACCTCACGATTTGTAATAATAGGCCTAGATCTACTGCAGATTACATTGGATGATGCTGTAAAAGGTTACATAACATTGTCATAAATCCAAGTAGTTATTATTATTAATGTTGTTTTATCATTATTATATGTATATACCGAAATAAATTGAAGGCTATGTTTAAGATTAAGGACAGTCTCGTATGAATATTAAACAAGTGTCATAGTACTCGGATATGCTTAAATTTGCTACTTGAATATGTTCAAAACCAAGATAATGTGTGTCTACACTCAGATTGTTTATAATTATACAACGTTCTTTCAGAGTATGAGTACTATGACCTAAAAGTTTCATTTTTATGTATTCAGACATCATTGCTCCAGTCTGCTATTAGTTGAAAGCAGAAAAGAAACTTTTTGATTAAAGGGCAAGAAATTGGCCTTAAATATCTATAACGTTATATTTTTTAATCTTTAAAAGTTCTCCATACACATGCAAATCTGGTACTCCCAAAATATTTAAGCACAATCCGATATCCAGCAGGTCGATTTCTTTCATTTTATAAGAACCACATAATAATATGGAGCAACAGTACAATCAAATAAATGTAATTTAGTTTTGATATCTAACTTGATTCAAATGACTATAAAAGGTTCTGATAAGCTCTTCAAGCATGGTCAGACAAAATCACAACTCTTGCTTCTAAAGTACCAGTATGTGCGAATTTAACACCCGATCAATCTAAACACACCCATACTAAACGGTGGCTCTTTTGGTAATGTGTTAAATGCTATCAAAACATTGCTGGAGAAGGTAAACACAGTTTCTAAAAATATCTGTTGTTTAAATAATTGTTTTAGAGCATGTAACACGCTTATCACCTGAAGAAATGAAGGTTATGAATATAAAATTATGAGATATATTAAAGTAAGAAAAGGTAAATCAGTAAATTCAAATGTGATGGAGCCACCGATATGGTGTTTGCGCAATCAGAAATGTGATGGTGCCAACCCAACCATTCAGTAAGAATAGGTTTGTGCAATTATGCCAATTGATGTTCATGGTTAAATTAAAAAAAGAATCTTCAAATTGTTTGAGATAGTATCTGCTATATTCGTATATCTGTAAAAAGTATAAAATGTGCCATTTTCAATTACTTCTTCATCACTAATTGGACTTTCAAGAGAAAAAACTAATGTTATTTTTAATGATTTCCTATGTGTAGAATTCTTTATTTGCAAAAATGCGTCTTTAATCTAAATAATTAATATTTGTCTTTTGGAACTTGGTTATTCAATGTGTTTTCTTATATTGGTTTTCGCCGGTCTGGTACGTCAACCATTCATCCTTTTGTTCAATGTTTACAGTAACTTTTACATCGTGTTGAATTGCTTTGGCAAAATTATGCCACACTTAAAACATTTTATGAACATGATGAAAGTAATTTATATTAACTAATGTAACTTTGTCTCCTTGTAAAGGAAAACATGTGAGTTGATTTTTGACAAAAACTCTTGCAACTTCATGTTTGGGTATTTCGTATCGATATTGCATCCAAAATGATGAGAAAAATGTTCTGTATGGTATAGCAGTTTTCGATTTTTAAAAAACAAACGAGCATATTCTTTTAAAGTCGGATATTTTTAGAAAATATGTTAATCTTTTTCAGCGTTTATGGCTATCATATAAATAAATCACCAACATGTGAAAGAGCCAATGTTTAGTAGGGGTAGGGATGTAACATATTTTGATTTAACTTGTAAGCTGACTGATAAAGAGTACAATATCGTCTGCAAACAAAATGAGGTACACTGGATGCATATTAGTGAAGTTTATTTAAAACACAAAATTATATGAAAAATACTTCTCCTTGCACCTGAACTATCTTACTACAATCATGCAAAATATCTTAGTACAATCATGGCAGTTTTACTCAATATTTATGATGAAGCAAAACATCAGTGACATGTCTTACGGTTGTAGTTAAAAATGGCGTCGTAGGCTTTTAGCTAATAGCTTGGTTCTCCCCAACAAAATATTTGTTAATCACCTTTGTCAGAATAATCATACGGTCTATCTGTTTGTTTGTTTGTTTCATTTTACGCCTTTTCCCAACAGTATTTCAGTCATATAGGCGGGTAGTTTCCTAACCATCGTTCCTGGAGAGTTACACCAGTACTAGACTTCCTTCCTCCGTGCAAAACTACCAAAGAATTTCCCGAGGATCGAACCCACGCCAGAAAGGTTATTGGTTTAGAAGTCATCGACTCTAACCCCTCAACCACGGAGGCGGTCACGGTTTATCTGTAGATATATATATTAACATAGAGTTAATCTATCCCTACAGCGATACCCTGAGGTGTATCATATTTCAATGAATAGTTATTTTTTAACCATGGTTTCTGTGCGTATTAACTGTGTATACATGTAAATGTCAAATTGTTAAGCTAGCAAATATGCGAGTTTTGGGAGAAATTAACATCAGTTTAGGGAACGCACACTTGTAGTGTGTAGCATTTATTTTTATTTATATTTATTTATATTTATTTAATTTTCTCCTTTTTTTGTTTTGAAGGGAGTTTTGTTGATCTGTTGAAGTTGGTTTAATTTAATTGTTGTGATCTTAATCGATCAGGGTTCATTAGTTTGGGAAATGTCTTGAAGTTTACACTTCTATGCTCCCTGAGCAAGCATCAGACTATTAAGAAATTAAACAGCAGTTTTGAAAAGATACAAATTAACAACAGAGGGTTTCAGAAGTAAATTTAGAGAGAGTAAACCGGATCAAGGGGAGACTGTTAACCAATTTATGGCTCGCTCAGATAATGGACAGAAATGTCCGATGCTGATATACAGTAGTTAAATTGAAAGATCTTATTATTAGAGTGCAATTATTTGAGAGCAATTTGTCAACATTTGTTCAATAGAGCTAGCTCTTTTTGTCAAGGAACGCATGCCAAAGGAAAGTTTAAATGTTATCTTATTAGCGAAACAATACTTAGAGGCTCATGGCGGTACAATAACAAATAGTAAAAGCTCAAAAGTTGCCACTATTTCAAATAAATCATCAATACGCTTAAATCAAGGTAATCTATCGAAACCAGTACAGCACGATCATAGAGAAAACAGAAAAAAATACATGCTTCATATGTAATAGAGAAGGTCGTGTGGCCAAAGAGTGTCGAAATCGAACTAAGAAAAGATATGGGGCTGCTGCAATGGCTTTTGGCGAGCAAAATAGAAATTACTATAAACCAAATCGGGATTATTCACCAAGGAACTGGCGTTGTAGGCTTAGAGAAAATAGACTTGATGGTAGATCAGATGAAGGTATCGGGGTTATGTATGTCAATTTCTCCAACAAGTTCTTATGATGGTTGTATTGAAGAGAGGAACTTGAATTAGCAAGTGATAATTCTGTGCCTGTCATAACAAGTAGCTGTACAATTGAATCGTTAGAAGGTGAACGTCAATTGGATCTGAAACTAGAATATGTTGGTAATCAAGAAGTGAAAATTCTAAGAAACACTGGTTGCGAGTTAGCAGTAGTTAAAAAGAAGTTGGTTAGAAGAACATCAAATGCTGAATAATAATTGTGTCGTGATAGCAATAGATGGTCGGGCCAGGTTGGTACCCATGGCAAAAAAAAAGACATTGATACACCTTATTATAAGGGTGAAATAGAAGTCAGCCATTTCTGACTTGGTCCTGGGCAATAATCAGCGTGTACTTGATAAGCCAAATTAGAAGTGGGTTAGCCGAGAAGAAACAAACATAGCTGCTGTTGTTTCTACAGCACATGCATAAAAAGAAAAGAAAGCAATGAAACCTCTAAAAGAAATTACGGTAGATGTTTTAAGAAAGATCAATTAAATGACTATACGTTACCGCGTTTGTGGCAGTATGCTAGAAAAGATAAGATCATGAAAACAAAAAGAAAGTGGTAACAAATTTAGATAAGTAGAAAAAGATGTGTTGTATAGAATATTTGAGACGGTGAAAGGTGATTTGAAGTCCAAAATAAGACAAATAATTATTCCTAGTAAATATCATGAAAATAGTTATGTCTTTAGCTCAGAAGTCTAAAGTTGGTGGGCATTTCTCTGTTATTTGTCAGAAGACGGTGCGCAGGGGTCGACTTCAGAAAACTCCTGAAGGTGAAATGCCTATTATTGACACTCCTTTTCAGAGAATAGCATTTGATTTGAAAGGGTCAATTTGGCCTGTATCGGAATAGGGAAATAGTTACATATTAATTGAAGTTGATTATGCTACTCGTACCAGAGAAGTACCAGAGACACGTTATACGTATGAGTACGTCCTTGATTTGAGAAATAGGTTAGAACAAACGTGCAAAATAGCTGGAGAGAATCTCAGCAACATACAAGAAGAGAAGTACAAACATTATTATGGTAAGAAAACACGACTAAGAAGTCTTAAGAAAGGAGACAAAGTTTTATTCATCCTGCCTTCAGCACACAATAAACTAATGTTACAATGGAGAGGTACATTTGTTGTAAGTAAAGCAAGTTTGACTAGAAAGTAAAAGTAGGTGATATAATTAGGTTGTACCACATAAATCTTCTGATGGAATACTAAGAGCGAGAAAATGGGATTTGTGTGAGTGTAGCTGAAATAGAAGTCGAATTTATAATAGGGGGGTGGTTGATGATGAAAATCTTTTTAGAACTAGTAGATACACGGGGTGAAGAGGCGTACAAGGATGTTATTGTTAATAAATCAATTATCATTTGAACAAAAATCAGAAGTAAATACCTTGCTTCAAGAATTTTAGAATAATTTACTGACGTTCCTGAAACTACAGATATTGAATTTCATAAGATAGATTTGACCAACGGTTTTTGGCAAATACCTATTGAAGCAAAATCAAGATATCTAACAGCATTGTCTACAACAGAATGTAATTTTCAATTCAGAAAGAGGCCATTTGAAATGGTCAATTCTGGTGCAACATTTAATAGAATGATGCGAAAGTTGTTTTACGGGGTGAATGATACTGATAACTATGTAAAAGATGTGCTTGGTCATATTTTAACATAGGAGCGACATATAAAAATGTTGAGACAGTTGTTCGGAGGAATACGAGAAGCAAAGATCACAGTTAAACCGTCTAAATGTGTGATTGGATTTGAAAGTATACCATTTACCGGTCATGTTGATGGCAAAGGTCAAATGCAAATGGAAGATGACAAATTGAGTAAAATTAGAAACGCTATGCGACCAAAGTCAAAGAAGCAACTGAGATCATTTCTTGGTTTAGCTGGATATTACAGAAAATTCATTGCCTCATTTGCAGAAATTGCTGCACCATTGACAGATCTTACGAAGAAAGTACAGCCAAAAAATTCATATGGAAACCAGAACATGAAAAGGCCTTTACGATATTAAAGAAACTATTGGCACGATCATCAATACTAGTCGTTTGTTTTGCAATGTGATGCTTCAGACACTGGAGTTGAGCCTGCACTTTTCAACACTTTGATGATGGTCTGCTTCAAATAGCTTACGCGAGTAAGAAATTGCTAAATAGAGAAAGAAACTACTCGGTTGTCGAAAGGGAATGTCTTGCAATGGTTTTTGGAAAAATGAAATTCAACAAATATTTGTATGGAAAGAGAATTTGTGCTGCATACGAACCATCCTCCCTTAACATTTATTCAAAAGTGTCAAGTTTAAAGTGGTCGCATAATGAGATGGACATTATCTCTACAGAACTATAAGTTTAGAATAGTAGCTGTGAAAGGAAAGGACACCTTGTTTATAGAATACCTAAATAGACTCGATACCTGAAAAGAGACATTAATTCGATCCGATTATTCATATTGTTTGCAAACATTGGAGTGCGTGCTTGGGCTTTCACAATAATCATACGGTTTATCTGTATATATAGATATATATACATATATTTTTTTTTTACAACGAGTTAATATATCCCTACAACGATACACTGAGGTGAATCATATTTCAATGCATGGTTATTTTTAAAACCTGGTTGCTGTGTGTATAAACTGTGTATACATGTAAATGTCAAGTTGTTAAGCTAGCCTATCCCCCTTCTAACCCAATGAAAGATTCTCTTAATCCAAATTTCGAATAAAGAATAGAAATATATTTAATTTAAAATCATGTCACTGTTTTGATGAAGATTTGCGATAAATATGATATCACTACTTCGTATAGAACTTCTGTTTCAAAAATCATTGGAACTGTAATAATACTTTGTTAGATTATCGAATATAAAAACTTATGAAGAATTAATATGAGTCAGTCAGTATATCTATTTAAGATTTGTAAAGAAAATCTGCATCAAATGAATGTACATACTGATTCACAGGAAACCGAAAATGCAGCTTTATAAGTGAATTAGTGTGAACACTTATATGATAAACATGTATTATCATATTTTGTTCTTGATCATTTTAATATCTGCTATATAAATACACGAATATGTAGTATCGGACCATGAATCTCACACTTGTCAACAATTTGCAATCTCCTCTCAAATTTTTCAAATTCTGATATTTTAAATCTAATTAGATTAGAGTTTACATGTACAAAAATACTTGTAATTTTCATTTTACATTTATTTCGCCTCTGCCTGTTTGACACACCTTTGGGCGACGTTGCTAGATCTACAGGATATTATTGTTGCTTTGTTCTGTAAACGAATGTATTGCTTGTTTTCAAGAAATAGCTTTATTGTCGGAATTGTTTTCAGGAGAATCAATGGAGATGAATCAGAAGTCAGCTGCGTTTAAAAACAAGGTACTATTTAAGTTATTTACCAATCTGACTTATTAAAATGGTACGTTTTGCCATGATACTATTTAAAACGTCCCGGTCTTGAATGATATTGTTATCTAGCTGGGGAAAAAAATAACCGGTCAAGTGTCAATCCTTTTGATACTTACCACCTTGCCAACATCCAATAGTATATTCAAAGGAAGTACATATGTAAAGCACCAATTGTGTTACATCATGTTATTCTGGGGTAATGAAATTTCAATTTTAACATTCTGCAGTTTCAATTTAAATTTCTAATAAAAAAAGTTGTCTTAAGATACTTTAAACAGAGGACTTTTTAAGCGCTTTTTATCATTGAATTGTAAGTCAATCTATTATAAATATCATTTTACGTTTTATGGCGTACCGCTTTAAGTGATCACAAATTACTGTTTTTTTCCGAATGGCATTACTTTTCACGTTTATTAAAGTTTAAGAATCTGAATAGGAAAAAAATATTGCCCCTTATATTTCGCATTCACGACTTCTTATTAAGGAGTCCAATGCTTTAATAATGCCACTTACAAGCTTTCGTACACCTTTTATTAGTATCAAAGGGGGATACTCCCTCGTCCGTCGTCATGCGTCAACAATCGTCTTTTTCTCTGAAACTGCTGGGCAGATTTACCTAAAATTTGGTCTGTAGCATCCTTGTGACAGTCACACTTAAATTTGCTCATGACATTTCATGTTTTGCATGTGACATTTTATGTTTTCATTCAAAAAAGTTAAAAAGAAAATGTCCGGTCAAAATATATCCTGCTCTAGTGGTCATTTATTCTGCATTTATTCTACATAGTCTCATAGGAACACACTTGCAACAAACATATTTTTAACAAAGCCTTTCCAAAATATTAGGGCAAAATATTTTAATTTATATAGTGAATAATGTAATGATGGGTTAGATGAGTGATCTGTGGCCATCTTAGTGGCTCCATTGTTTATTATGAAGAAAAAAAATCTAAAACAATCAGTGTTGTGAAAGTATATTACTAGAGGGGCAAGTAAAAGTTAAGCTGAACTTGCCGAAAGAGCTGGACTTGCCTTTCAGCAAGTTCTTTTGAAAAAAAATTTCCAACACTGAAAAGCAGTTGTTTCTGGTGAGCGACTGAGGGCCATCATGGCCCACCTGTATAAAGATAAATTATTATAACTAATTGCAACAAGCGAGGTTTTACGCACGCGTATAAATGGTCAGCTGTGCACACGTCTTTAGAGCCGAACAAAATGCTTCCTACACGAATGTCCGTTTAGATCTGCGTAGTTTTTGAAATGAAAGGGGAAGTGTTACGACAAAAAAAATCTATTACGTCCGTACTAGTAGTACTCGTTTTGTACTGAGGCAGAACAGGTAATTGTACGCTTCAGTCCATGTCGTAATGTGCCAGAAATTCGACACCGTGTGTCTTATTTATATAATAATAATAGTGTTGCTCGTAATAATTATCATAATTCCTTTACAAGATACAAGATACAAGATACAAGAAAATTTATTTTACGTCGGATACATATAAACAGAAAACATTAGCTCATGAGCTATTTTCCGACAAACAATAGTATATGAACTAAACAAGAGTAAAGCAACTAAAAAGAAAATATAAGCATAAGCACAATTAAGTACATAGAAGTAAGATATTAAAGCAACTAAAAAATTATACATAAGCACATCTAAATACATGGATTTAAGTTATTTTAGCACCATGCATGCTTAAAAGTTACAATAATTACAAGCAAGATAAAACAAATAACTGATAATATAAATAATGTACATTCCTGTAAAAGAGTTATATATTAGTTAAAGACAGACATGTATAAAAATAAGCATAAGCACATCTAAGAATATGAAATTAAGAAAATAAAAATTTAAGATAAGTTAAAAACTACAAAAGTTACAAGAAAAAGAGTACAAAAATAAGATATACATATACACCTATGTACATACCTGTAAAAGAAATATAATAGATATATATATATAAAAAAAAAGACATACATAAGTAAAAAAAAAAACATAAAACAAAACAATGAAATTACAAGGACTATCACATAATGCAAATAAAAAGTAACATTAAACATTTATTGGTATAATATTTGCAACATCTAAAGACTATACATAAAAGCACATATAAAAACATGTTAATCACATACAAACACATGTTAGACACACATGTGTTTAACAAGAGGCTACAAGCGGCACATTGAACACTTACATTTTGGGCCTGTCCAGGTGCCAACCAGCCTCCCAAATTCTTTGAAGTTTTTTACTCTTCTGATGTCACTGGGGAGGCTGTTCCACACCCGGGTAGCCTCAAAACGAAAGGAGTTCTGTCCATACCTGGTGGTTCGAACTGTAGGCACTTCTAGAATATGATCATACCTGCAATTGTAAACAGAGGTCTTAAATTTGGCTAAGTTTTGAATATATTTAGGTGATATATTGTGTAAGCACTTGAAAGTCTCGATTGCAATTGTTTTTAACCTGCTTAGATGGAGTGTGGGTAATTTAACCTTATTAAGGAGACTTTCATATGATGATGTAAAATCATTGAAAACAATGCGTAAGGCCCTGTACTGGAGTTTTTCAAGTTTGTCTGTGTTGGCTTTACTACAGAAATGCCACACTATGGGACAGTAATTGAAATTGGACCTGATAAAAGATTTGAATATGATAAGCCTGGTAGGTACAGAGAGGAATTTACTTAATCTTTGCAGGACATTTAACTGTTTTGCGGCTTTTTGGCAAATGGCTGATACCTGGGCATCAAAATTTAATTGATAGTCAATATCTACTCCTAGTAATTTGACCTGTTCATCACATGGGATAGTGCTGCCGCTTATATCAAATGACTTAATTTCAGTATGTGACTTGACCCCCACTGAGATAGCTTGAAACTTTTCAGGTTTGCCTGCATTTGATTACATTTAAACCAATCTATGAGGATATTACTTTCATCCTCAAGGGTAGATTTGACAACTGTAGCATTTTTATGCCAGAAGGACAAAGTGTTATCATCAGCATAATTATAAAGGGTGGATTTTTCTATGAAGTAAAATATATCATTAATGAAAATGTTGAAGACAGGGGCCCTAATATTGATCCTTGAGGGACACCCTTAATAATATTATCCCACTGGCTGATATAATCCCCTAGTTTAACCCTTTGTTTCCGCTTTTGGAGATAACTGCTCATAAGTTTACAAGCGTTATCAGACAGACCATATGCCTTAAGTTTAAGGATAATTAAATCATGTGGAAGGCAGTCGAATGCCTTTGATAAATCCATTAGTATTGCTCCGATGAACATGTTTTCATCAAGGGCCTTTTTCCAGTCTTCCACTAGCCTTAGTAGCGTAGTCTGACAGCCATATGATTTACGGAAGGCTGCCAGATAAGGGTGGAAAATTTCCTCAAAGTAACCCGAGAGTTGGTCATGGATAACCCTTTCATATAATTTGGACATGGTGGGTAGAATACTTACTGGCCTATAATTTTTTTCTATATAGGGGTCATCTTTTTTAAAAATTGGGGTTACTTGGGCAAGTTTTAGATTTTCTGGGAGCTGACCTTGACTTAACATAGTATTACATAAATCTCTAATGGGACGGGCCAGGGAGGGTTTGCCTGCAATTATGACCTTTGGTGGAATTTGATCAACTCCAGAACCTTTTTTTGGATTTAACCTTTTTATGGACTTAGATATAGTTTGAATGTAAATTGTGATTGTGGGCAGTTGTTATTTATTTTATCTATGCTTGGGTGTATAAAGGTGTCTTGTTCATTTTCTTCTATACCAATGTTTTTGCAATGTTGACATAGAAAGAGTTAAGTGTGTTGGCAACTGTGGCTTGGTCAGATAAGAGTTCCCCATCTGACTTCTTCAGTATTATTGGGTTGTCTGTTTTATTAGTAGGTTTTTGTGATAAGAAGGGCTTGATGGTAGGCCAGAAATCTTTTGATTTTGGCCCGCCACCACACCTTTCGTGAAAATATGTAGTGATTGAGTCCCTTTTAACCTTTGTTTTCATATTTCTCATTTTCTTGTATTTTAACCAGTTTTCATTACTTTTGTGTTTGAGAAAGGTGTTTTTTGCCTGACGTGTACTAAAGATGACCTTTCTGTAATTTGAGTTCATATAAGGAGGATGGTTACGTCTGGGTTTTTTTACTTTCACAGGGGCATGATCATCAACGACCTGTTTAAGGAGCATCTCATGGGCCCAGTAGACGTCATCAATGATTAATTAATTATTTCCCGATTAAACGATATATAAACTCTTAACAAGCAAATGAGCAACGATAAAATATCAAATTTTAGCACGAGTACAGATATTTCATGCTAGTTTTTAAATAACCTATATGACTTTATCCGGAGTGAGATTAAAAAAAGGATTGGAGCACCACACTAAATATCGTATTTCGGTACATAACGGACAAGACGCTTGAATTATTAAATGCTTTTTCACCTTACGGAATGATCTTTAAAATGTCAACTACATCTTTACACGCCGATTTATGTACGATAATGAATGAAAAATGTATGAATCGGCTAATTACGATATTTGTGCATTTTTGTGATCATGATTTCTGCAAGCGTCTAGAGGTACTGCCCAAATCCTGTATTGAGTTAAATCCATTATCCGGAGGCTTATGGGAGGCAACTCTTCGTGACCATGCTGTATTTTACGCCATTAACTACATTTGTTCTACGTCATTAAGAAAGCACGTGGACACTTTATCTCTGCATTGGCTTTTGTTGAAGCAGGTCACGTTTTTAGAGCTCTTACAAAAACTTATATGCCGCGACAGAGGAGACCATAACAGAGAAGGATCAGCGCTGTAGTTGATCACGTGACCAAAATCGTACAATGGGCTCATAAAATGGCGGCTTAAACGCTCGGTAAAAGCAGAGAATTTGGGGTTAGCATGACGTAAAACTAGGCCACACGGAACCCCTGTATATATATCACGTACTGTTCTAATTAAGTTGCAGGCATGTTTTATAACATATACGTTTATAAACCATGGGCCTCATTAGATCCGTGTGATTATCACGCCACATATGTTGTCTTGAATTGTATCTAAATCAATTCAAATTTTAACAAAAAAGTTAATAATTTTTTTTCGTTGTCATTTTTTAATACTTTAACAAATGAAAGATACGTACCCTGATCTTTGATTTGAATAAAATAGATTTTATTACAAACGGTGGTCTTTTGTTAACAAATATGTTGTGTTGATATATTTTTTGTATCCACTTATCTGATAATTAGAATAAGATAGTTCAGGGATCTATACATGCCTGTTTGAAAGAAATATGTGTGTATATTTCGTCAAAAGCAAATGCTAGATACCTTCTCTGACCTTTGATTTGAATTAAATAGATTTTATTACAAACGGTGGTCTTTTGTTGATAAATATGTCGTGTTGAAATTTTTTGTATCCACTCATCTGATATTCAGAATTAGATAGGTCAGTGATCTATATATACCTGTTTGAGAGAAATATGTGTGTATATTTCGTCAAAAGCAAATGCTAGATACCTACTCTGACCTTTGATTTGAATTAAATAGATTTTATTATAAACGGTGGTCTTTTGTTGATGAATATGTCGTGTTGAAATTTTTTGTATCCCCTAATCTGATAATCAGAATTAGATAGGTCAGTGATCTATATATACCTGTTTGAAAGAAATATGTGTGTATATTTCCTCAAAAGCAAATGACACGAGCTCAAAATCATTAATTAACCGTTAACGCCCTAGATAAAAGCATACTTCTTTTATTCCAGAACAATCTATTCTATGATATCACTCTTTTGAGAATTGTTTTAAAGTTTCAAAGTTTTATTAAAAACATTCATAAGATTAAGCTTAGCTAAATCATACGATAAACTACGAATTAACTTACATTGTAGTCATATTTTATTACTTATATTGCAGAACTTGACGAATGCAGAACTGTCAGGTAGGCATTTTCAGCAGTGAATTCAAATTGGATAAATGATCTTTACGAGAATTACATAAATTAATTTGCACTCGAAAAAAAAATATTTGCATGAATTGTGTTTTATGTGTAACGTTTTGACATGTTTAATGAATATATATATACAAACACGCACATATATATATAGACTTAAGATAATTTATTAAATTAATTTTCCAGTTATACAGCAACAAAAGGATCCTTTGCGACGGGGAGGTCGTCTGTCGTCAAATAAAGACAAAACAGTTGACGATACTCCGCCTCCCTCATACAAAGAAATGGTGAGACATTTTACTGTACAAAAAAGAACACTGTATATGTATTTAGATTACTGTTGCATTTTTAAAATCTGTAAATGGCATGATACCCCGGAAATAGCAGTGAAACAACAATATTATATGACAAAATGCAGACTCATTTTATTTAGTCTGTCCATGAGAGATATTTTAAAAGTGCAACATCTTTCACGACCACTTGCACCGTTTTAAATGGTATACAATCTTCAGCTGGAATAAATGATTCCGTAGGAACAGGAAAATATAACAACACAGAAGAGATGTACGGGGCAACTTTTTACAGCTGCCACATGACACTTGACACCGGCGTATACTGTATTTGTTTTGTATGTGGTAATATTTATATAGAATAGATGAAGAAATATGTTGGTTTTTCAAATGTGCAGGTTGGATATACGGAATATTGTGTCCGGATTGTAATGATTTCAATACGAAAACATCATTACATAATTGTGTTAATATAAAGTACACATAGACCATTTATTATTTGATGTTCAAGCTTCTCACTATTTTAATAACATATGATAATTCACAATTGTAAAAAAAACTTGGAAAGTACCTAACACGGATAAGTAGAGACAATCAAGCACGACATAATTATATGTCTTCAAGAAATGGGGAGTTTACTGGCATGTTGCTTACAAAGCATGTCTTAGACAGACGCTTCATGTTAAAGATTAATGCCGAGGGGAAAATGGGGTTAAACCTGATTCCGTTGTAACGTTAACGTTTTTGATGTCAAAAAGTTACTTGATGAAGATGCACGAAATATAGTACATGAGGTACATGAAAAATCTTAATCATTAATTAGCGTTTTCGATGTATTCTCTCAAGTACATTGGTTTCATTTTGTTTGTTCACCTGTGATCAAAGCTAATCGATATAAGATAAATTGGAATGTAATGAAATCGAACAAATATGTCAAAAGAAATCCTGGTCGGTTGAAAGAAACCTAGATATACTACTGAGGAAGGCTATGAGGTTGTAAGTCTGGAATATTTCCCTGCTGAAGCTTGCCAAACTAAAAACCCAAAAAGCAAAGTGTTGCTTATTTCCAAAATGGGGAATTGTACAAGACCATAAAATACTGTATACTTCTGTGAAAAATCAAATAATAACATAATCAAGACGATATTCCGTGTAGGTTTCTGTGTCAAGATTTGTGTTTAAGAAAATCTCCTTGCTTTCCATACATGTGTCCGTCGACTTCTTATTGTTTCCTTTATTCGATAGATGTGTAGGATGATTCTTAATTCAAAATTTTTAAAATTTCATGTTAAAAGATGAATTCTGCTTAAGCCTGTACTAGGAAGCGTGAACGGTAGTTTGCACAGTACCGTCCATAAATAGACTCAATCAAACAGTGCATGCAACAATTTCAATTTTGCCGTTTTGGACTTTCTGTAGGGATTCTTATTTTCTATATTATTTGTATGGTGTCTCCATCAAATACTAGAGTACATAACGTGCAGCCTTGGCAGACACTGGATAGACCGATGTTTTATTTGTAAGAAGACAGACGGAGCATACTCTAAATTTCACAAAGAAAATATGTTTGAATATTTAAAAAATGTTCTTTCTTAAAAAACAAATGTTAAAATTGTTACTCGTATATGATTTGCCGTATGCAGTCATGTAAATCCTTATATACCGACTGTAAATTTCAAAGCGATTTGATTGTTTTCATTTGTGAAATCTATAAATGAATCTACTTATGTCAGCTTTTCTGTTTCAAGAATCAATCGTAGTATCAAAGAGCTCATTGTAGAATTCCATCGAGTATTAGATACAAAGACTTAAAGTAATAGGCAAGGTAATCCCTAAGTATGTATTTTTTTAAAAATAGGAAATATTGTATCGTGCTTATAGTGGATTTTTACAAAGAAACAACTAATATTATTAGTTATGAAGATTGTTGACAGGTTATATGACCCTATATAAACGGCTGTTTGTAAATATAACCCGAGCCGCTAGGCGAGGGTTATATTACAAACAGTCGTTTATATACGGCCATATAACCTGTCAACAATCTTTATAACGAATTTATAATACAGCAAACATCATTTTTAGAGAAAAAAGTAAGATTTCTTCATAATTCGACAACAGCCGTGTATATAGATCTATATAAACGTCATGATTATCCAATGAAAAGCGACGTTACAAACGTGCAGTATTATAAATATCCATATACTTTGTATCGAGACATATTTCGTATAAAGGATATTCAAGATCCCGGTAGAATCGGTAGAATTTCGGGTGTTGGATGTATTATAATACATAAACAGACCAGTTATAACGGCAGTGCCTCCAGATAAGACAAAATATTTCTCAGAAAAAAAATAAGAAAAGAAAAACGATTCAACAATCATTATATATTTTATATTTTATTGTGCACATTACGACTTATTTGTAAGTTTTTATCACCATTTTTATAATGCGCGGCTAACGCAATAAGATCCATTTTTGAATATTATAACTTTTTTTTTTTGATAACTTACGCGGATTGCAAGTGTAACTTGCTATCAAGTGTCATTTGCTATGTCTTAATCATTTTCTTCGCGCACTTTACAATATTTTACATTTGAATACTTTTTTTTCATCAAAAAAAATTTGTTTGGTGAACACGTAAGCGAGAAACCATGCTGTTAAATGGAATTCTTTGAAATAAGATTGGAAGTAAAAAGTTCACAAAATTGTGTACGCATTATTTATGGAATTGTAGTTAATACTGTTATAATATGATATGTATAGGCATTTGAAGAACATTAAACATTCACACTGACGCATATATGCATCGCCTGTACAATACAAAAAGCCTTGTCCAGATTATGCTTATAAAGCTTGAATTTTTATTTATTAATTAGATTCTGTTGTCAATACTGAACCAGCAGAAAGGTATTGAAGGAGTGTTCAAAGAACGTGGAGGTTAGAAAATTATGTACACATATTTCTAAACAGCTTTTAGAATTTAGTTTTAACATTTATCCTCTACTGAAACAAGTAAAAAGAGAAAAAATACCTTTGATATTAGATTTACATATTTGACTGAATTGACACTTTGCAATATTTAGTATGTACTATAGTATTTATGCTCTTTTTATTTCTTTAGGACGGGCTTATTTTTTTATTTTCTTATGGCAATACCGACAGAGTTTAATTGAAACAACTATAATGTAAATTACAAAAGAAGAAAACTGTGATAAAATGACGAACATTCTTGATAGGTTATATAGGAAACTAGGAAACTGTGTTTGACCCAAGCTGAATACCTCGAGTATCTATAATAAACGCAATAAAACAATGCCTAAATGCATATAATTGAATGTCTTACATTATTTTGAATCAGGAAGACTTGAATCAATTGAAAGAACAGTGTCACAGACAAGACAAGTTACAGATCAAACTCTCGAACTCCAACAAAATATGAACAACAGGTTGAGTAGCATTGAACACAATTTACTCGTACAAGGAGGAACACAGGTAAGGAGAAAGTGACAGAATGATTACTAGAAAAAAGCACTTGTACATTTCAATTTTAAATTTTATACATACTTTATGTAAATAAGGTATAATTTAAAGTTTGGCTGTGGCTAAAAAAAGGATTGGAGCACCACACTAAATACCGTATTCCGGTATATACCGGACAAGGCGCTTTTTTGTGATCATGATTTCTGCAAGCGTCTAGAGCCTGTATTGAGTTAAATCCATAAAGTTTTACGGTTTTTGCTTTTGTTGGGATGTAAGAACAAAATAAGTCTATTGTTATATCTTGTATATAACTGTCCTCTGTGTATGGTTAATTGAACTGGTAAAGCAAGTTTTGTAATAAAATATGTGGTATAAAAGATTTTTCATTATGATACAAATTAAAGACACTACTAAGTACAGTATTTAAATTTGTATTGTATTTTAAGATATTCTCGAACCTACGTGTACCCGATATTGCAAGTTGTGTGCATATTTTTGTTCTTGTTATTTTCGTTCATGAAATGTGTCTTAACTTTTCTTTTCAGTCGTTGCTTTTCTATAGCGGGAAGAATAAACATTATTTCCACTTTTAAATAGAGAATAACATGCTACTTACTGTCTTTTGATATCAATTTTATTAGGTGAGGCTGATATGGCTTGTCGAGCCCGTTCTGCCCATATAAGCCGAGCCTGATAAAATTAATATCAAAAGACAGTAGCATGTTTTTCTATTTTTCATGTAATACGTACATAAAAACTGTCAAAATTACAAACAATCTACTTTTAAATAGCGTATTTCGTAGAAAGGTGCATTTTTGTTCAAGAAATAATTCTTGAAAACAAATTCCTCCGCCCCTGAAACTTAGAATTTGTAAAAGGTGGCCATTTTTTCTTTCGACTCGATATTATTTCCTGTTATAAAAGATATAACATTACGTAACACGATAAGATTCTGACTTACCTTTAAACATCGATCCAAAAAACTCCTAAGAATCACATTTAAGCTTTACTGCACTTTTTGCCTTGGGTTGTCAAATTCAAAAGTTCACGATAATTTCAATGAAACAAAAGTCGAATCGGCAATCAAACACAAGCTTCACAAACATGCGTCTTAATATTTTTTTAACGAAACAGTGTTTGTTAACTTTTATTCGAAATAAAGTAAACATTTACAAGTTCTAGCCTATTTGTTATGTTTACATGTATGACGTGGACATCGATGATGTCATTTGCATTATTTAAATTATCACGTCACTTTAGTTTGTGCTTAAATATTCGCTATCTAATTTATTCGTAACTGAAATCGAAATTAGAAAAAAAAATCGCATATTGGTTCAAGACTTATAAGAGTCTGAGATTACATTGTGGAATTCACATGAATATAAGCAATTGAAAAAAAAAGTCCGTTAAAATGGGCGGGGCTTATTTTTGATATCTGGTTACTGACCTGATCTCAAAAATAATTATCAGGCAAGTGTTATCGGGTAGTTACCATAGCAGTTGCATGATAAATCATATAGCTATATTTTCTGTCCTAAATTGGCTCAGATTAAAATCTTGCTAAAAATGGAGAGGACGGATACACATGTATGATAAAGCAAATGCTCCTTGTCCCTAGGCTTCTTACGTAATGCATGACAAGTAACAAACAGAGATGAAGTTTACGAAATTTTCAGAATGTTTTGTACTAACAACAAACGGTAGTGTTAAGTTGTTTTTGGCACATAGTTGTTTTGAGCATTATAACAATCTCGTTTTATTTTGCTGGTCATTTAGATTCATTGATTTTAAAACTTTTGGTGTTAAGAATGCAATACCATATAAGATTGTGTTTTGCACCCCCCGAAATCAGGTCGTTTTTGTTTTCATTTTCGCCGGGATCTGTCTGTTCCAAACTACTTTATTCCAGATATGACAGCAATAACGTGATATTCCAATTTCTATTTGCCTTATATTCCTTCATACATGAAAATAGATAATGCATTAAGATTCATTACCTATGAGTAATTTGTTTCAATCAAGGTCCATGTCAAAGAAATATATCAAATATATAATTTAAATATATATAGATATGTACCTAGGTAATTTAAAATGATTCTTTATGTCACAATTATAGAAGGGTTATTTAAAGTTACAAAATATATACTAAAGGGTTTCGTAGTGCTTTATTATACGGTAGATCGAGAAGTTTGTAGACTAGGCATTTATACTACTTCTTGTTTATGTATTAATTTACATGTATTTATTTATTACATCTTGTGGAAGCATAATACAAACTCTGTGTTTCCTTTCAAACGCGCAATTGAACTACAAAGTGTGTGTTTGTTTTTTTTGGTTTAACGCCAGTTTTTTTTACATATTTATGATAATATTTCGGCTCACGGGCCATCAAATCGACTTTTCTGGATCACTTACCTGTAATTACCTATTACTCAATAAATGCCCAACTTCTAACCCAATCAGCTTTGTCTGAGGAAAACAAATCGTCCAAGAACAAACCAATGACTCACTCATTGACTCGATGCTCTCCATACTATTGAAATCGGGTTGAAGACAAAAGGTCAACAAAGTACTTGAAGTTTTAAGAGCAACCATTTCTGCCTATGATTGAAAAAAAACACCATGTGAAGTGTTTTTATAGACATTAAAACCTCAAATTAGACACAGAGATAAGATATGATAAAAGGTGCTTCTGGAAGTATCACAAACAATTTGAGACAGGAGATGCTTTATGGAAGACACACAGTAATGAAGTCAGCCTTAAAATACGAATTTTGATCTCTTTGAAAGAACTAGGCAACAAAATGTGTCAAATTCTTATTTTAAAAAACGCCAGTAAATCAGTCGATAATATCACAACTTCCGCATTCTTTTGTAGCTTTATTATCTCAGGCGCTTTTTAATGCATGAAATTAATATAAAAAGTCACTATCTTGGTCCGAGCGCTTAATGTTCCAAAATTGGACGCTCCATGATATTAGGTTGTGTTATCCGCTATGGCTGAAATCTGATTGATTTGTTTTCAAATGCTACTGCATCCACCCAGTAAACAAATAATTTAAAGAGTTTTCCTTAAAATTACAGAACGCTACATAACATTTAGTTTAAGTATTGTAATTATTCATACGACAGTTTCTGGTAAGACAAACGGTTGAAGAAATGAGATGCATAGTGATAGCTGAAAAGTATGTCTGAATATTCTTTGATCATTTGTTTCCGCCGCTGATTTAGAAATCAGAAGTCGATCAGATTGGTAATTGGTAATTACTGGTTAGTTCTAGAAATGCCGGTTAGGTCGATCGGCTGCAGATATATGGCTTAAACATTGTTAAATCGATGTGAAAATCAGAAAAAACAATGAAAACAATTACGGCACTTGTAAAATGACACGCTCTGTGTTCTTGGCTGTAACTATTGTAAAGTGTAATTACATTAAAATCCACATATGTTCACTAACATATTAAAGGATTCTATCAAATACAAATTTACGCTATCAGTAGTAAGAGTCTACGAATGTGATGATAAACTGATATAGTAGTGCAAGTTAATAAATACGCAATAGTGGCGCAACATGAGTCTTTTATTTCCATAGCGTTTTGTATGCCAGTATTCTATATAAAGCATTACAGATGCGATCCTTCCAAACTGATGTCACCGAAAGATTTGAATCAGGAGAAAGAACATTGACAGAGACAAGACAAAACATGAACGAACGATTTGACAGGATTGAACATAGCTTACAAGAATTGCATGTGAGTATAACATTTAATAAATGAAAAAAACAACACTTTTATATATCACTAAGCTGAAGGTCACATTTAACTGAACTATGTTACACAGAAGTTGTGAACAAAACGCTTTATTACTAGTTATTACAAATTATGTTTGGTCCTTCCCATTGGTTCTTGTTGCTGGGTCATATGGGGGTTGCGTTCATTGAACGCCCCCTTTCCTTGTTGATCTTGTTTATCATATTGTAATTAATGAAACCTCTATTGGCTTTTCACTTTCAGCCCCAAACAGAGTCAATTGTAGGTAGGAACTTTTGTCAACTTATTTGCTTAAAATAGAAAGAGATGCATTATTTACCTTACAATATCCATGTTTCTCATTTATAAAAATCATGTTTCTAAATACAAGTATATGTTTTAATTTTTTAATTATGCAAAAAAGTTCATTGAAAATATTTTTTTCTAATTTTCGATGTTTATGAAGAATTTTTTTCAAAGTATCATGTGTTCATGTATAATTCATAGTAATTAACAATATAAACAAACGTTTGATGTTCAAAGATCGCGTGAGCCAGCGTGTTGTGGAAACGCTATTGCAAAATGAACCATTTAGAGCCAGAATACAGCCTAACGAAGAATTATTGAAATGCATAACATTTCAAGAACATGAGACAATTCCTATTTGGACCCTTGGACACAACAGAATGCATAAGTGTGAAAGTTGTAACTGCATGAGGCGATGTTATTGCATTTGCCATTCTCAAAACCAGTGGCGTAACTTTGAAAAACGGAAAAATAAAGAAAGAAAAATGCATTCTGGCACAAGGAGAAGAAAGTATTGTGAGAAAAGTATATGTAAGAATATATAAACGTATGCAAGTTTTCGCAGTGTCACTCTTATTTTTATTAGTAGATAGTCTATATGAACATGTATATTTAACTGTAACTTTAACTGTAGATAAGAATTGTTATTTAACCAAACGTGTTCAGTGTTTACATATTTATTCTTTACAATGGTCTAAAATTGACAAAGGCAACATTAAGATACATATTTAGCAGTGTGTGTTATTTGTTACTGTATTTAAATACGGTTACACATGGGCGTCAAATTAATTTGATTTAAAAATTACCTCGAAATGAATGATTCACGTTCGATCGTTTACAAAGAATTAACTAAGTAATATTATTTTTATTTCTCTGCATGATTTGATACTTAGTTCTTGAATTGATGCTTATAATACTGGATTTCAAAATTCTTACGTAGATATTGGTTGAATGAGTTGAGCAAAGTTTTTATTTTAACTTATCGTTTTAGATAAAGAGTCGTCCAATTTGCAAAACACCAAGGAAGATATACAGTTACTCGGGGCTACTGGGGGTGATCCAGATGAAAGTCCCAGTGATGATCCATCTAGTGATGATGATGACAGTAACGGTAACAATAAGAGTGGCTATGAGAAAAAGAAAAAAGACAAAAGAAGGAAAACATGGAAGATAGGTATGTTGTTTTCATAATTAGTTCACATGAAAATAGTTTTCGTCGGATATACCATATTTATAATAAATCCATTATTATATGTATATTATCAAAACTTGTTGACAAATATGGTAAAAAAAGGTCAACCCCTTGAACAGTCAATGTATATAATTTTAACCAAACAAATATGTTATACACAAAGTGCTGCAAAGCATTGCACAATAGCTACATAGTGGCTTTAGGGAATGTAGAACAGTATAGAAAATATTCACATCCACATAAATAGATAAAAAAATAAATCAGAAGAAGTATGTAAAATATATACATAGTCCGTCTTTTGACTCTTCATGAGAAAAAGCAATTTAAATAAACAGTCGCTACACAAAATATGTACAATGTATTCGAGTATGATTAATTACACAGCCTACGGAAGGTCGATAGTTTTACTCATGTGCCAGTCCGTCGTCCAAGCCTGAAATAGTGCACGAAGGGGTACCTTAGGCCCCCTGTACAAAATGTACCTTAACAGTATCGATATGACAACAAAATAAGAAGGCGATGAATTTCGGGACAGAAGTACTATTCTAAGTAAAACTAAAAAGAATAACTTTGTTCTTGCAATTATATGCAATTTTATTTTTATTAAATAAAGTCAAATGAGTCAAATAAAGTCCACTCTTAAGCTTCCACATTTTTACATCAATTTTTGATATCATATGATAAAATGCTTATTGTCTCCGCTATAGATAAAGATGCATGGCTCAAGTGTATCAAGGAAGGAGGCGATTTTGAACATCAGGCGGAAAGTTTATTAAGTGAAAGAAAGCTGCCAGATCAAATTGCGCTAAACGCTATGAGATCAAAGTACGCACATTTGTCTTCAGTTATTTCTAAAGTTTGCGATAAGGTTTGCGTTTATATCAAGGAGAAGTCAGAAGAAATTGTACATGTTTGGGCTGCTTCAATTTATTCAAAGGCTTCCTTGCCTAATGATAATGACATTGTTTTCGTTGTACTGACAACAGATACAACAGTTCAAATAAACGAAGACAATTTTTTAATATATCAAAGACATTTCTTGCAAGTCGATGAAACCGACCTGAACAAAGAAATAGAAATAATGGAATACAATAATCTGCCAACCTCTGAAGAAATTGATAAACTTGAGAAATGTTTGAAAGAAAATGCAAAATCGTTGATGAATGACCATAGCAACCTTACTAGGGTGACAGCAAGTTGGTTCAGAACAGATAGTTTTAATACAGAACACCTCTCATTAAGAAAGGAATTGTGTATTGCACTCTATGTCCACGTTAAAGGATATATACCAGTGGGTGAGAAACACTTTCCTACCAAAATTGGAGGGTTTCCAGTGGTTGTCCGAGAGGGCATTTTTACACTTTGTAAGGGTTCAAATGAGTATCATGAGAATGTGAAGATGGGTTGTGCAATCGGTGCAGAAATGTTTGGTACTCTTGGGGCATTCATAGAATTTGAAAATGATAATGATTTATATGGGCTCACATGTGCACATGTTGTATTTGGTCATGAAAAACTCAAGACTATACTGCAAAAAGGAGAATGTGTATTTGACGATGGTATAGTTGTTTGTCAACCTGCCGATTATACAAATTATAAACCTCTTGGCAAAACAGTGGCGGCTGTTTATAAAAGTGGAGGAAATGGGATATCAGGAATGGAGTTTGCATTAATAAAAATTTATCAGAACAGATGGCCTACTGAAGGCACATTCCCCGATGACTCTGACTATTTGTCAGCAGGTACTTTTAAAAACAACTATTTGCATAGTATTTCCTTCATTTAAATTTTTGAAAATGCTGATTTAGATTTTCTTTTCAAACTTTCATTTCATCAATGTCGTAAAACAATGACCATCTGACTTTAGTATTTGACACAAAATAGGTAGTCTTGATTTTCAAAGATATGGTTTGCCTGAGGTTTTGACCTGTATTAAAAATTGTACTCCACCTGGTGTGTTTACATGTTGACCAAGAATGATCAGCACCAGATTGCAGGCCTCAAACATTCCTATCTTTCCCAACATATTGTAGTTTATTGACTGTTGAATTCTTTAGACAATCAATGCCTACTCGGAAAATTGGAAATCTTACAGAAAGTCTGAACGGCAAAATTTAAATGTTGTATTCTCGGTTTGGGTGAGCCTTTTCATGGACGGCAGTCGTAAATGCAAGAACCACCGTATTACTAAATAATATATATGAAAAACAACTGTAGTTTCATCTAATCTGAGACCAAGGACAAATCTATTTGACGGCCTTTGTCGTTTTTTTAATAGTTGTCTTTGCAACTGACGTAAAAATAAATTCGAACCAGCAAATCTCTATCGGTATCCTCTTTGTGAAATCTACTAATTTAAAAACGGAACCCTCTTTCCACATGCACATGTCACTCTCTGCTGGAAACAAGTAGGCGACAATCACCAATTTAAAACTGTTTATTTTTCTGATAAAAGGTGGTATGTCGAGTAAAAAGGAAGTATAACAAGGAACACTAGAATGTTTTTATTATGTATTTCTAAGGAATTTGTCAAATATTCAATTACTGCAACTCCACAATAAGCTATACAAAATCGCGATGTTTCGCCGCACCAATCTCCTCGGCATCGTGACTAGGATTGTTTCTATCGCTTCTAATGGTAGAATAAAATGAAAAAAGTGAAATTGATTCATTTACTGATAAAAAATAAAGTTGTTTCTGTTGTTGTGTTGTACATAACTGATACAAAAATTAAACTGAAATCGTCAGTATTTTTCAAACATGACAGTAACCTGTATTTTGTGTTTGTATCGAGAATATAATAAGTTTAATAACATGAATTTGACATAACTTTTGAAACGTTGTTAATTATACATCTATAATGTAATCAAACATTTTATTTCAGGATTTGGACCAGACACGCCTTTTGTATTTACATCCGGAAATACTTTAAACACAAGACGTATCCCGTCTGCCTTAGTGTATAAATACGGTTGTGAAAGCAAACTCACACAAGGGGTGTGTCGACTCAATGGTTCATCGGTTCGAACATTGAAATTTCAAGAGAACATTCTGGATACTGAATTGGTTTTGCACGATCAGATCGAAATAATGAATGTACAAACACCATTTGCTTTAAATGGGGATTCAGGTGCACTTGTTTTTACAAAAGATGAAAACAACGGGCTTACTGCGTTTGGAATGTTTGAAGGGAAATTCCAAGGTACGAATACATATGTATGTACGCCAATCAACAATGTCCTTAACGAAATAAGCCGGATTCGTAACAGACAGTGCAAATTTAAAAGATTTCTACCATCTGATTTGCGAATGAAGGATCCGGGTGATACAGTAATGTCACTTTTCTTGTCGCAACTGCATGAACGATTAGAATCTCTTGATCAAGGTTTTGCTCAAGATTTAGCAAACCATAAACTAGAAATATCAAATGAACTTAGTGAACATTTAAAAAGGACTCTTGAAATCAGTGATCAACAGAAGATTCAAAGAGAAGAACTTAAGAATCAAAATGAAGAAATGAAAAAGCAAGGTGACGAGCACATAAAACAGAGCCTTGAAATTAAGGAACGTCAAGAAAGACAAGAAAAGAAAAGCGAAGAACTTAAAGAGGAACTAAGGAGGCAAGGTGAAGTGCATGTAAAACAAAGCCAGGAAATAAAAGACCGACAGGAAAAGCAAGGCAGAGAACTAAAGAAACAAAGAGAAGTACTTAAGAATCAGAATGAAGAATTGAAAAAGCAAGGTGACGAGCACTTACAACAGAGCCAGGAAATTAAGAAACGTCAAGAAAAACAAGAAAAGCAAAGCGAAGAACTAAAAGAGGAACTAAGAAGGCAAGGTGATGAGCATATAAAACAAAGCCAGGAAATAAAAGAACGACAGGAAAGGCAAGGCAGAGAACTTAAAAAACAAAGAGAAGTACTTAAGAATCAGAATGAAGAATTGAAAAAGCTAGGTGACGAGCACATGAAACAGAGTCAGGAGATAAAAGAAGGTCAAGAAAGACAAAGCAAAGAACTGAAAGATCAAATGGCACAAATTTTGATGTTATTAACTCACCAAAAATCGTAATACAGTGTAATGCACTTTTAATAAATAGTTTCAATACAAATTTTCGATAAGTTTGAATTAAAAAGGATAATATACGTAAAAGTTGTTCAGTAATGTGTTATATGAAATCAGTAATGTGGTCTATGAATAGACTTTATTTAAAGAGTAAAACGCCAAGTTACAACTCAATAGTTTAAAAAACCTCATCATGGCTACAATCATTCAGCTTTTACCTTTATAGACAAATACGTTGTGCACTATGTTAATTATTATAACAAGTATTTTATGAAAAACAAGTTTAAAATTTATGAAAATTTATTCTTGTGCGGTTCTTGTCTTGTTCTTAATTTTTTGGGTCATTTGCGCTATAAAGATATTATTTAGGAAAAACGAAGTAAGCAAATGATATAAAATTTTGCAAATACAAGTAAGTTATTATCAAATTGAACGGCTACCTTGGAAAAAAATATTTACAGCTTCTCCGCGGCAATAGAAAACCATCAGTGGAGTCCCTTTTATTCAGTGGATGTTAATTGCCTTATTTATTCGGAATATTTTCAAAGTCATCAATGAAATGGATGATTTATTTATGGTAATGCTTGGCGATCTCAATCTTTAAGGTGAAATATACTTTAAAATTATTTAAATATATATTATATATTATACATGTACATTGTTTAACTTTAAACTGAATCACAATTTTAACCCTTATTGACTACCCGATGATAAATCTGAGTTACACGTGAGGGAGCTTGCTGATATTCAGAAGGTGCACGAAAGTGCAAAACGACCAAGTGTTTCAAGAACGCACCAATTTGTAAACAGTCTCTTAATTCTGCATATTTTTAACCACATAGCAAAAATGTCCACATGAAAACAATTATTATTTATATACCAGACTGGCCCGAATAAATAATTAATTATACCAAAAAGTTTTTTTCCGCTGCCATTTTTTGTAGAAGCCTCGTTAATTGTTGTTGTTGTTGTTGTTGTTATTGTTATTGTTCTTGTTGTTGTTTTACTCATTATTATAAAATCTTTGTGCAAACAATTGGGAATGTAAACATAAATTGCACTGTGAATAAAAATCCATCCCTTTTAAAAAGTGTATTTCTACGGAATAAGAAGGTATGTACTTACATTCCAGGGAACAAATTCTTTTTCTTTTTCTATTTCCAAAGACAACACGTCAGAAGAAGAATATTGTAGATTTAAAAAAACATATTTTTTGCGTAAAGCATTGGATTGACTCATCTTAGACTTTGACAGTTAAGATTCATAATAATGACTCTTAAAAGTCCTAATAATGACCTGGATCATTAATCAACAAACTCAACAAACATTGTTTTAAAGACCTATATCTTTAACCAAGTAATAACAAAATCTGTCACTAAATGATAAAAATACATGGAGTGGACATGACTATGAATGCACTGTCTTATCATGACTTCTGACATTCAAGTATGAACATCACCTTTAAGCTGCTGAGGTAAATTTTGTACATTACAAATCATCTTAGTAAGCAGCGTATTTACTAAGTATGCACAATCATTTCAAAGTCCGTCCATGAATGTCAAAGCTATTCACAAAAGAAGACGATCTATTCACAAACCTCAATTTTGATATATACTATATAAGTGTGACCTTACCTTTTGATACTTGACCCCAATCATGTTTTACACATTTATGCCAAATTATTTTAAAATCCATCCAGGATTGACAGAATTGTTTACCGTATACAACCATCGATACACTTTAAAAAAAATCATATCATAAATATGGAATACAAGTGTGACCTCGACCTTTGAGATAGGGGCCTTATTCTTGTACACAACACATTTTCACTGCGCCAAACACATTTATGCAATCCATCTAGGAATGACAGACTTGTTGATCCAACACAAAGATCAGTCTGCTTTTATAAGACTTGATCTACAAGTATGACCTTGATCTTTATTCTTGAATCATTATGCCCAACACATTTATGCATATTTCTTAACTCCACCCATCAATGACAGTATTGTTGATCGGACACGAACATCAGTGCATTTTTATTAAAGAAATTCCTTTAAAGTCAGAGTCTGACCTTGATCATTGAGCTTCAAACCTAAGTGACTGACATGACACATTGCCCCAATGTGCTACACATTACAAAATTATTTTAAAATCAATCCATAAAGGAAGAAGTTATGGACTGCACACAGGTCAGACGGAAGGACAGCGGGACAGACGGAAATGCTACAAAAAATAATATAACCCCTCATTTTTGGAGACATAAATAACAATGATGGCCCTGAGGTCGCTCACTTGTATATAGGCCCCCGGAGCGAGGCCAGTTTAAACACAACGGCTTTTATTTGAACAAACTTGGAAGACACCCATTAGAAGATGTTTTATGATGTAAAGTTTTTACTATACATATATAATGAAAAACAATGACCCCCCCCCCCTGGCAGGGATAGTTTTAACCCAAGGGCTTTTATTTGAACAAACTTGGTACACACCTATAAGAAGATGTTTCATGCTTAACATCTAAGCTCTAACTCATTTGGTTTTTTTAAAAGAAGATTTTTTAATTTTTTCTCTACACATATAGTTAAAAACATGACACCTCTGGGGCGGGGCCAGTTTTGACCCCAGGGCTTTTATTTGAACAAACTTTGTAGACACTTAGTAGAAGATGTTTCATGCTTAATATCTAAACAGTAGTTATTTGGGGTTTTTCAAAGAAGATTTTTAAGTTTTTGCTATACACATATAAGGAAAATCAATGACCCCCGGGCGGGGCCAATTTTGACCATAGGGCTTTGATTTGAACAAACTTTGTAGACACTCAAAAGAAGATGTTTCAAGCTTAATATCTAAACTCTAGCTATTTTGGTTTTTTCAAAGAAGATTTTTTAAGTTTTTGCAATACACATATAAGGAAAATCAATGACCCTCGGGGCGGGGCCAATATTGACCCCAGGGCTTTTATTTGAACAAACTTGGTAGACACTCATGAGAACATGTTTCATGCTAAATATCTTAGCTCTAGCTCTTTGGGTTCTTTAAAAGAAGATTTTTTAAGTTTTTACTTTATGCATATAAGGAAAATCAATGAACCCTGGGGCGGGGCCAATTTTGACTCAAGGGCTTTTATTTGAACAAACTTGGAAGACACTCATGAGAACATGTTTCATGCTAAATATCTTAGCTCTAGCTCTTTGGGTTCTTTAAAAGAAGATTTTTAAGTTTTTACTATATGCATATAGGGGAAATCAATGACCCCCTGGGGCAGTCCAATTTTGACCCCAGGGCTTTTATTTGAACAAACTTGGTAGACACCCATTAGAACATGTTTCAAGCTAAATATCTTAGCTCTAGCTCTTTGGGTTCTTTAAAAGAAGATATTTAAAGTTTTTACTATATGCATATAAGGAAAATCAATGACCCCCTGGGGCGGGGCCAATTTTGACCCCAGGGCATTTATTTGAACAAACTTGGTAGACACTCACTAGAAGATGTTATATGCCAAATATCTAAGCTCTAGCTTAATGTTTTTTTAAAAGAAGATTTTTTAAGTTTTTACTATATGCATATAGGGATAATCAATGACCCCCGGGGGCGGGGCCAATTTTGACCCCAGGGCTTTTATTTGAACAACCTTGGTAGACACTCATGAGAACATGTTTCATGCTTAATATCTTAGCTCTAGCTCTTTTGGTTCTTTAAAAGAAGATTTTTTAAGTTTTTACTATATGCATATATGGAAAATCAATGACCCCCTGGGGCGGGGCCAATTTTTACCCAAGGGCATTTATTTGAACAAACTTGGTAGACACTCACTAGAAGATGTTATATGCCAAATATCTTAGCTCTAACTCTTTTGGTTTTTTAAAAGAAGATATTTATGTTTTTTCTTCCGGTTGCCATGACAACCAGAGTTCTGCATGGATTTAAATTCTTTGAACAATCATTAAAGGTGACCACCAAAGGAACATTCCTGTGAAGTTTGGATGAAATTGGCTTGGTGGTTTATGAGAAGATGTCATTTAAAGTAAAAATTTACAGACGGACGGACGCCGGACGGACGCCGGACGAAAAGCGATCACAAAAGCTCACCCTGTCACTTTGTAAGGTGAAGCTAAAAATTCGGGGAAAAGGAAGAGGTGGACATACAAACGTTTGTCAAAAAAATACGCCTACTTTCTAAAAGGGAGGGGGTCCCTTTAGGGAAAACCCCGATTTTGGGAGAAATTTTAAAGGGGACATTCCCCTTTTAAACCAGGAGATGAACCTTTTCTTTTCTTTTTGGGCCCATTATGTCAAAAGTCCCCCGGCCCCATATTTAAAATACTTTTAAAAAAAAAATTTTCCAGTCAGTAATTTTTAGAAAAAATTTGAACATTGGGATATGTAAAAAAGGCCCACTTCCCTTTTGTACGCAGTTTTTAAAAAATATTAGGGTAAATCCCAAAGGGTCACAGCCTTGGGTTTGAAATTTCTTTTGTCTTACAATAATGAGGGGTTTCCCGCAGTCTTTATGTTGATGATAAATGCTGTTTGTTATTACACGCAGGATTTTAACAGTTTAAAATCGGCCCTGCAGTCCCACCTTTTAAACATTTCATTCCCTTTTAGATAAGTAACAACCAATAACCAATTTTTTCCGCTGTGATTGACCTCTAATCTTACGTAAATACTGAATTGGCAGCGAGAAACAAATGCACTAAAGAATAGGTGTTCAAGATCAATTGCCACAGAAAAAAATTGCACCGCCCATGGATCGAACCAGCGATGTTTATGAAATTTTTGTGAGACTTATAAATTTATCTACAATACTTATGAATAAAACACCTTGCGGAATACTCGTAAGTATATAAATATGTCCCTGTGAAGGCAAAATAAAGTGAGAACATATATGTCCTATGGACATCAGTATGTGGTTTTAAAATGTATATTTTATTGTTTGTTACTAGATGTGATTCCATCAAAAAAGCAATAAGTGGTCTTAAGATATCTTGTGAGCTTGTTTCTTTGTTTATGTTTTATATCACACTTACCCAGTATAGGTAGTATGACAATGTTCCAGCTTTTCTGGTGGAGGAAGACCTCAGGCATTATTTCTGGCATGAACGGGCACCTGAGTAGAATCACCGACGTTCCGATAGCTTCCTCACATGAAGGAATCAAAGTCACTGTCAGGATTAAAACCAAAAGCGGTGAGGGGCAAGTGGTTTAAAGTTTGTGAGCTAAAAAAACAAAAACATAAAAATGATTATTTAAATATTTAATATTTTCTATCATTTATTTAGAGAATGAATATACATATGTATTGAATTGTCATTAATATATAAATATATACAATGAAGTTTAAATCTAAGAGCACATTTTCATGTTTCATACATCATTTTCTGTATATAATATTGAATAAAAATGTCTATTCAACAAAACAAAATAAGACAACAATAAAAATGCTCTTAAAGAAAAGGAAACAAAATTAACTTTATTGTTTCAATTGCATAAAAATTAACAGGAAAAAAGTATCAAAACCCTCTACACAAAATATAATACTTTAATTATACATTACCAGAATTCATTTCCTTTTGTCATGTATTTATATAGGCATTTATACTATTAATTTCAATTGTAGATAATTGGCTTAATATAATAAATACTTAAAACAATAAGACTCTTTTTCTTTGAAATCAATAAAAAACAATTATCTTAATTATGTTAAAAGTCAAATACAGTGCATTTTTGCCTTATGAAAAGTTGAAATGGAAATTCAGTATAAAAAAGACTAGATTTTACATAAAATAGAGAAACTTTACATAAAAACACTAATATGCAGATATTTCGGACAGTGAACAGTTGTTATTGTTGTTGTTCATTAAAAAAACACTGTACATTTTAAAAAAATATTCTAGCAAATTGGGGAAAAAATTAAGCAACAATTTTTGAGAAAAAATGCAAGTAGCCTCCCCTGAATTAAAATTGCCATATTAACAGAAAAGTATCCTATAGAGTAGACCCCTCCTATATCAATTGTGTTGTGTGTTTATACTGTAAAAAAGTGTTGTAAAATGTTCAAAATCTGCAGGACAAAGAAACAAATATATATAATATATAACCATGTTTGAAATACATGTATGAATGGCCCATGTGCAA